CAGTCATCAAAGGTCCAAACAGTCATCAAAGGTCCAAACAGTCATCAACATCCAAACAGTCATCAAACTTCCAAACAGTCATCAAAGGTCCAAACAGTCATCAAACATCCAAACAGTCATCAAACGTCCAAACAGTCATCAAATGTCCAAACAGTCATCAAACATCCAAAACAGTCATCAAACATCCACAGTCATCAAACATCCAAACAGTCATCAACATCCAAACAGTCATCAACATCCAAACAGTCATCAAACGTCTAAACAGTCATCAAATGTCCAAACAGTCATCAAATATCCAAAAAGTCATCAAACGTCCAAACAGTCATCAAACGTCCAAACAGTCATCAAACGTCCAAACAGTCATCAAACATCCAAACAGTCATCAAACATCCAAACAGTCATCAATCGTCCAAACAGTCATCAAACGTCCAAACAGTCATCAAACGTCCAAACCAGTGGGCGCGCACTGTAGCTGTTCCCACTTAACGTTCTTGAAGCCAAAATACGCCGCTTAGTGGCGCTTCCATCTTGCAATTTTGACGTCATTTGGAGCCAGAGTCTGCGCAGTAGGGTCCGGGGGCAGGAGCCCTGGTAACACGCCCCGCCCACTTAGCGTACTGCCCTGATGACTTACGCAGCCCAGTTACGCCGAAAGCGCTCTGCCGGTCTACGATGAAGAAATGTGTAAGTACAACAAACCACCGTATTCAAAGTCTAATATTTAAACACACTGTGTTTTTAAAAATCCTGCTATTTTGATCAGTACTGAAAATACGTGGGCTGCTGGGTCCTCTGTTTTTAACGAAATCGTTCTATATTTAAGCTATATTTAAGCTAGGTTAGCACCACAGACCGTAGGCTACAGGTGGTAAGATATGTTGTATTCTGTAAGAAACTGATAGTCTGCAATGTGATTCAAGTCTGCTTTTCTAATATATTTAAGTGAACAGTAAATCAATTGTTTTTTGTCTTTTCATTTAGGCAAAGAAGAGATAAAAGCAGCTGGTCTGACATCTTCCACAGAGGTGAAGTGTAAGTTAAAATCATCTGTTAAAAGTTTATATCCTGTGATTGTCAAAACAAGATATTGTTAACAATACAGTCTTCTAAAATAAAAATCACACTGAGTCATACACCAGCTAAATATTAAATAGAAAGGTGATGTTTTCTTTTCCATTTTACAGTCAACAGAACCTAAAAATGACTAATTTCAACCTTCATCTGTGACAGTGAACAGTGAGAAGGCTACCATAGTCATCCTCAGATAAAACACAGAGATCCAGGTCAATATTTAATTTATTTTTCTTAACATGATGTTGCCCTGTGTTTGAAAGGCCAGATGCTGGAGGGTTGTGTTGGATTTGCTTTTCCATCATAGTTTAACAGTCAAACAATCATCCAGGATCTCTTTACTTTATTTGATTTTTGTTTGGATTTCTTTGTTAAATTATTTTTTATACTTTCTCCTATGTCCCAGCAGTTCGACCTGATGGTCTCCCTTACTTATTTTCCACATAGTTAATGAAGCCAGGGGTTGTTTATTGAAGATTTCTTTTAATAAAATGTTTAAATAAACTTTTTAAAAATCTGATATGACTGTCTCTGATTAACTGGAGTACAACGTGTTGGTCACAGTAAAATAATTTAGCAGTTAAGTTTATAGTTCACATTTGAAAAGGCCTTGAACTGACATTAATTTCTTCTTGACCAACAACAGCTAAGACAACAGCAAAGCTAACAGACGAGCTTAGCTTGTCACAGCCGGGCTCATCTGAGATAAATGGCCTTCAAACTTATTTAATATTAAACATTTAAAGCCAATAAGCATAGCAATATATGCAAGAGATTCCATTTCAATTTATTCAATCACAGACTTGTCAAACAGTCTGGCATTTTGTGCTGCTGTTTTCAAGAGTTAATAACTGAAGAGAAGAACTCCATCGAGAGAGGACAGGAAACGCTCAGGGGACGAGTCCTCCATGTTGTCAGGGGTTGCTGATGGATCTGAATCTGAGAGCATCTTCTGTAATAAAGAAAAACAATCACAGAGTTAAATGTAAAGTATAATGAATTTTACTGTGATGTTTATGCCTCAGACCTGAAATCAGATCTGTCCTCAGGTCCTGCTAAGCTTCAGGTTCTAAAGTTTGTTTTTAAGACAGGATAACTATTTATGAGGAAAAACAAAATATATAATAAGACATGATGAATTCAATAATATGATCAGCTTTATGAATTTATGTTTGAAGCCAAAAGTGTTCCTGCCACTTTCTATTGAAGATTATTTTAAACTGTCATCACATGGGCCAGCCTGATGAATTAAACTAATCTTAAATATTCTCAGGTAATCAGACAGCCAATTTGTGTGCAGAACCTCATCGGAGCTGGAATCAGAGTCTGGACTGCTGTTTCCTTTGGGCATTGATTTCCTGGAAGACAGAAAGAAGAACAATTTAAACATGAACTTCTTGCAGAACCATAGAGGCTGTTAAAATCTTCTGCTAGTCTTCCTTACATTTTAGGAAGGATTATAAATTGTTACTAAAATTACTTTGATGCCGATAGCAGTTACAATAACACGGTCCAATCATATGAGAGATCATTTTACCTTTGAGTCCTATGTGAAGGCGTTCTCTTCAGAATCAGCAATGCAAAGACAAGATGATGGTGTCCACCTTCACAACCTGCTGCTTCAGTCTGGCTGCATCATGGTCACCTACAGGAACACCACAGAAATGCAATCAAAGTACTTCACTTTATTTATCAGAGGATGTACTGTATGCAAAGTAAAAAAAAATTAGCTGTAATTCCTCAAAAAGATTTGAGACTGCTTTGTTATTTGAGAGCACAGATTGTTTCTTTTCCCTTCTCTCTGTTTGCCTGTACATGACCTTTTAGTGCTGTAAAAGATGCTACAGTAAATCCTGGATCAGCTGTGCGGATGGTGTGACTGTGTGGTAAAGGCAACAATAGCCTGTAGTTTAATCATGGTGTTTCTCTTCGTTAACGATTATTGAAGCGAAATCAAAAATAAATGCATGACATTTAAAACATATTAACATGTGTGGGGAAAACGCGATCTTTATGCCTTCTTTTATTGTGCCTATGTCTCCTCCTAACTACAATAACAGCAGAATGTTGTGTGTAACACTGGTCTCCTGCATTAACACCTTCCTTTCAAAGGTGATAAATACAGACACAGTCACAATCACCGCAATGTTTGTCAGGTTTTGTCAATTTTTAGAACAATTTCTCAATGAGCGTCATAAATTTACAATATGATCAACTTGTGACTGTTGAATTGGTCGTGTGTGGAAGACAATGCAGAATATTTATCACGTTTAAGCAGCATGATGCTCGGTTAATATTACATTACACCAACGCCGGTTGTTGATGTTTGCGTTCACGTTTCGGTTAGTCTCTTAAATCAGTAACAGTTATATTAAATCCGAGCTTACCTTTAGTTTTATCTGGATACATAGAGAAATATTCTACCCTCGTATATAGTCCTATGAATTTCAGCCTGCACGGTGAAAGTACAACCTGTTACTCTCGGTATAGCCCACTTATCACTCAGACTGTAAACATGTTCACATTAGTAATGATGCAGGCCAGATTACAATTATGTGACTTTGTTTTTGCCCTCGATACTTTTTTGAAACTTTACCAGACGTTTTTATTTTTGCTGTAGAATAACTGTACAGTCAATGAACCACATCTATGAGCGGATTTTATATTACGATTCTTGGTTTTAAATACAATTTCAATCACAATAACAATATAACAATATCAAGAAACATAGCATGTCAGTTATTAGGTTTGCTCATTTCATAAAATAAAATAAAAAGATAAATCCTGCTGGATAAGTAACCTAGCTTTACAACATTTCAGCTAACCTTAGACTGCTTATGTGTTAGCTAGCTAGATAACGACTTTAACCAATGACACATAAATCACTTTTTTACTTACCGAAAGAACTGCAAAGATCCCTTAGCTCCCACAGGTCGGTTAGAACAGTTTACTGCAGAACAACTCATTTTCCAGCTCAAAAAAGATGAAAAAACTGAACGTAACATTTGTTATTCACAAAGAGAGCTACGCAAGATCAGCGGCTGTCAATCATCGTCAAATATGACGTAAAATCCCGTTTTTCAACCTCAAATAACTTATTTAAAACAAACTTCACAGAAAAATGAGCACTTGAACACAATGTAGGGTGATAATAACTAATGATCACAGCAGAGTTTAGGTTTGAAAAAAAATTATGTGACGAGTATTTTAGCTTTACAGTTTGACCCACATCCCGTCTGTTATCATTGAGGAGGCGGGGTTTATGACCTATACTGCAGCCAGTCAGTAGGGGGAGCTCTAAAAATAAAAGCTTCACTAGACCGGGGACCTTGTCCCGTCCATTATTTTTACAGTCTATGGTCCAAACAGTCATCAAATGTCCAAACAGTCATCAAATGTCCAAACAGTCATCAAACATCCAAACAGTCATCAAACGTCCAAACAGTCATCAAACGTCCAAACAGTCATCAATCCAAACAGTCATCAAACGTCCAAACAGACGTCAACAGTCGAGATTAGAAGGAAAATCATTCTGCTCTAAAAGAGCGGACGACACCCGTGCTGCACAAACACGATGAGCATGTTGATGAAATCTGATGCAAAGTTTAACTTCATCACACAGCTGCTAAACACGCTGTCACACACACACACACACACACACACACACACACACACACACACACACACACACACACACACACACACACACACACACACACACACACACTCTCAACCTGCAGATTCTTTTTTTATTATTGGATCAAAAACAACAAAACATTAAGTAGACAAGTGCTGTTTTTAAGAAACAAAGTTGAAAGTTCCAGCTAAACTAAACTTTTTCATCTTCCAAGAGAAAACACACACACACACACACTCTCACTCACACACATACACACTGAGCAGCAGCAGAGAAAAGTTGTGTGTTTTACCTCCATCCTGCTCGTCGTCTGTCAGCGTTCAAGTTTATGCCGAGTATGTTTGAGCGCGAGTCTGCCTGCAGGTTAAATATAGAAGCTGAGTCACCACACACACACACACACACACACTCACACACACACTCACACTCACACTCACACTCACACTCACACTCACACACACACACACACACACAGCAGCTCATGTTCTGTCACATGTCTGTCATTCCTCAGTCGCTCGTTCTGCAGCTTCATGTTGATTCATAAAAATCTGATTAATTTCGACTCTGACACAGAAACCAATCAGACGGCTCGATTCAACAAAACTTTACTAAACACAAGCAAGACCGCTCATGGAGGTGAGGGCTTTCTGGGGCCCAGCTGAATGAGGTTATTGCATGATGGTTTGCAAAAACACAACACAAATTGTGATAACACAATTTAGTTTTACACCTAAATATTCAACCTTTCTTTCTTTCTTTGTGATGTTAACGTCATGAGCGGGTCCATTGAACTTAACTGTTACACCAGTAATGTCAGACGTTGTGAACCCACACCGCGAACTGCACAAAAATAAAGATGGCAAAAAATAAAGGAGGCTTGGGCATTTGACCCCAAAGCAACAATAACACAACTACTGATCCAACACGCATGCACTGATATGATTAAATTACGTCTGCAGAGCGCCCATTCACTCTTTAATATTTGTTTTTACTGTGCACGGTGGTGCAGTGGTTAGCACTGTTGCCTCACAGCGAGGAGGTTCCTGGTTAGAATCCCTGTCTGACCAGAGCCTCTCTGTGTGGCTGGTTGTCTGTCTCTATATGTCAGCCCTGTGATTGGCTGGCGACCAGTCCAGGGTGTAAGCCGGCCTCTCATCCAATGACAGCTGGGATCAGCTCCAGCGACCCTGATCATAATAGTATAGATAATGGATGGATAGATGAATTTAGAGATTCATTATTAAGTCCATTAAGACTCCCAGTCCACTGATGGCACTTTCAGAGTTTTGCTGTTTTCACACTTTGCACAAAACATTCTGAAGTTTTCATGATGAGTTGCAGGTGTGAACAGAATTAATCAAACTTTACACTCCGTCTTTACCCAATAGTTTTTCTGCCAGTATCCTAAAAATGTCCCTGTGAACTCGGAGCTAATGTGAGAACACAGCAGGAAATATTCAGGTCACTTACATTTATACATAGACAGTGCTCTCACTGGTTAGCCTTGGGAAGCTTTGAAATCAAAGTATGACTGAAGGTTTATCGTTTATTTTAAAGATTTTGTTCTTTTTGGATACCAGCGCTCGTTAGAAACCACGTGGACATCAGTCCTCACTCGTCTACAGTACGATATGTGTTTCAGATGTTGTGGTGAATGCGATGACAAGGAGCTGCAGCCTGATGCTGCTCTGCAGGATGCTTTCTGCTCTCTGAAGGGAAGTTGAGCCACTCGACTGGAGAAAAACTTGTCTTTCATTTCTGCTTTTGTGTTTCTTCACTTCTGAGTTTTCACCGACTTTCTACTGATTACACAAGCAGAGCCAGAAAGTGTTCATCAGCTCTGAGGTACACGCTGCTGTTTCCTCTCTGGGATGCAAAACTGTTTTTAAAGATTCTTACAGATAATCTGACAAACAAAAAGCTGTTTGTAGGATAAACCCCACCTCTTTTTTTCAGGTGTATTTTATCTTCTGACCAATCAGGGCGGGCTTGTGGTCGGAGCAGGACGTGGGAGGAGGAATGAAGAAGACAGGAAGAAAAGCTGCTTTATGAAGAAAGAAACCTTATAAGGAGAACGTTTGTGTGTTCAGAGAGATGTTACACAACAACAGCTTCTGTCAGTTACACAAGAAAACAGAAAGAGCAGAATTTAGAGGAGCAATCAGTAAGATGTGTAGAGAGTGAGATGATAAAGTAACCTTACTATATGATCATTAAGGAAACATGCCATGTTGAAGTGCTGTCTTCTCTGACAACAATGAAGCAGCCAGTATGTCCTCCTTCTAACTTTAGATTCTGGTCCTAAATGCTCTGGATTTGTTTGGATCAGAGAAGGTAGGCGGTTTTAAGGCCGTTTTGGACGCCCTCGGTTTTCCTGATATGACAGCAGTTATCAGGTCAACAGGTGTTGCAGTGATGGAAGCGGGCAAGAGAACTGGTTCAGATAGAAGTGATTGTACCCGACCTAAAAAGCCTCTGCATGTTTCTAATAAGCTCCACGAGCAGAAACGTGCTCAAACTAGGATCAATATTGGAGATGCTTTTGAAAAATGGAGAGAGGTTAGAACGCAGAAATGTTTACAGACTGATGCGGAGCTGGCTAAACACTGAAGCTTCATTGTTCACCACATGGCAACTTGCGTGAGCATCGACTCTAGAGAGGAGAGGGCGGGGGGAGACAGCTCTCTACAATGTTTAGAATTTGGACTGCAGTACCCATTTTAAACACTAGGAGTCAGAGTTACATATTGCTAACGAGACAGATTTGATGTCTTGATTTGGGGCTTTGAAGGTCTTGAATTGGGCATGTCTCTGGAATTTTTTATCTTGTCTGGGGATCTGCAGGACTACAGTATCTTTCTTTGGGTATGACTACGGGCTTGTCTTGGGATTTGACCTGTGACTTGATGGGCTTCATACCAGATTTGGTGTGAAGAGTTGGAATTTGACCTTTGAACTATTGTCTTGACTTGGGCCTTGACTCTGGATTTGTTGGTCATAATGTTGGGATCTGTTATTCTCTCTTTTGGGATTTGACACTCGACTTATTATATTCCAGAGGCGTCTTAACTTTTGATTAAGACCTATTGTCCAGGGACTTGTCTTGGGACTCGTAGGTTTCAGTTGGGACTTGTCTTTGGACCGGACTCTTACACGTTTGTGTAGGTTGTGACATGAAACATGAAGACTCGGTGCTTGATAACTCAGACTCAGAAAAGATTTGTCCTTTGTTGTAAAACATCTTGAGATCCAAGATGGCGGCATGTCAGTCCACCTGTTTTAAATGCAGATAAGACCGAGCTTATGTTGCAGACCGGGTCACTAAATGCACCTATGGTTTTCCCTGCTGGTGGAAAAGAGACTGAGGTTGTAAACTCTTACAAAAACCTGCTGGTAGAGTCAGTGATTTGTCCCTTCATTTCAAACCACATGTTCTGTCTCTGGTGAAAATGCTGAGGCTGAAACTGTTGCTGTGTTTTTCTTTGAATGTAAAATATTGTCTTCTTGCTGCAGCTGTTTTAACTGTTTCAGACTCTGGTGATGTTTTGAATATGCACAGCCTACCACTCGTCCTCGAGGTTCATTACAAACTGTAAAGCTCTGACTCATTGTGAGTCGTACTCTCGGGTTGGATGGCGGGCTCTGGCTACCTGTAGGCTCTTACTCCAGTTCACCTTTATATACACTGTCTGTCCAAAAAAAAGTCGCCACCTGGATTTAACTAAGCACATAGGTAAGAGCCTCCCATTGGATAATTACTGTATGGGTGATTATCTTTCAGCTGGCAACAAGTTATTTAACCACAACTGATGCAATGAGTAGCTTCTCATTTCTTAAACTACTATGTTGAAAGACCCATCATGTGGTTGTGGAAAAGATGTTAGTCTGTTTGAGAAGGGTCAAATCATTGGCATGCATCAAGCAGAGAAAACATCTAAGGAGATTACAGAAGCTACTGAAATTGGGTTAAGAACTGTCCAACACATTATTAAAAACTGGAAGGAAGATTTACCCTGTTCTAGAGTGATCAGGGTAAGAAGAGAGGCAGATGAAGTGATGCACCCATCATGTCTAGTGCCTACTGTACAAGCCTGTGGGGGCAGTGCTGTGATCTGGGGTTGCTGCAAGTTGGTCAGGTCTAGGTTCAGCAACATTATGTGCCCAAAGAATGAGGTCAGCTGACTACCTGAATATACTGAATGACCAGGTTATTCCATCAATGGATTTTTTTCTTCCCTGATGGCACGGGCATATTCCAAGATGACAATGCCAGGATTCATTGGGCTCAAATTATGAATGAGTGGTTCAGGGAGCGTGAGACATCATTTTCACACATGGATTAGCCACCACAGAGTCCAGACCTTAACCCCATTGAGAATCTTTGGGATGTGCTGGAGAAGACTTTGCGCAGTGGAAAGACTCTCCCATCATCAATACAAGATCTTGGTGAAAAATTAATGCAACACTGGACGGAAATAAATCTTGTGACATTGCAGAAGCTTATCAAAACAATGCCACAGCGAATGCGTGCCGTAATCAAAGCTAAAGGCGGTCCAATGAAATATTAGAGTGTGATCTTGTTTTTGGCCAGGCAGTTATATATGGCAGTTCTTTGTCTGTTCCCACACTTCCTCTTTGTTTTTATCATGCAGAAAAGTATTCTTTGCATTCTCAGGACCTCTTCATGCTCTCTGTCCAAACGCTCGGACAGAAACTAAGAAAAGGTCTTTGGGTTTTCTTCGCCCTCAGCCTGAAATCTGTTGCAGAGTGACTTAAAACTCAAGGAGCTGGAGTCCTTAAAGGTTTTTAAATCTACAACGAAAGACCTGGAAGCAGATTCTACAGGATGTGGATGTTTTTAGCTCGACTGCTTGAACGACTGACTCTCAGATTTGACTCAATGATATGTCTCTCTTAATGCATGTTCGTGTTTTGTAAATTGTACTCTGTTTGTGTCTCCATCTGTAACTTTGTGTTTGTGCTGCCGACGGTCTCGGTCAAGTCTCCTTTAAAAAAGAGTTTCTTAATCTCAATGGGACCAACGTGGTTTAGTAAAGGTTATAAATTTACTTTAATAAAGATTCTGTTAATCCTGGACTAATTAATTTGATTAAAACTCCAGGATAATTTCTGGAATTGTTCCTTAAATTCACTGCAGACGTCAAATGATGAATTTAAGGTGGAATTGTTAATCAATCAAACGTGACAACAGGTGACCCTTAAACATGAAGCTCTCATGTCTGTTCCTCAGAGGCTCTTTGCTGCCACCTGGTGGTCAAACTTCTGCCTCATGATGACATTATCTCCAGAGCAGCTGACACTGCTGACATGACAGGTCATTGAATGCACCATCAAACGCCACCTCTTCATGCCTTAAAGGGTTAATCTGATATTAATGAATTAGAAACTCTTTGTTTCGGAGCTTGTTACTTTCAGTTGTGCATAAAAAC